CATCCATCCATATTGTTTTGTTTGAAATGCAACAGAAACAGGAATGCATCCAAATTCAGTCACTGTGCTCATGTACTTTCCTGTAGGGTGAGAGATAGGGGAAAAAAAAAGAAAGAGTTTTAGAATAGAAGAATTAACAGTTTTAGATAGCTCACACCAACAAATGCTCTCTGACCTTCTTTGTTGGGCAGATCTCCTATCCAGGTGTTGACCAGGAGTCCTTGTCCGGGTCCAGACGAGCTGCCGACGATCACCTGGCCCAGCAGAGAGGCGTCTTTTGAAATGCCCAGAGGCTGAAAGTCCACCTTCAGAGGGATTTTCTTGCAGGTACGATTGTGGTGGTTGATCTCATACATGACATGCTGATGGATAAAAGTTATTAGATAAAAGTGCTCATGATGGATAGGCCGGGTCTTTGTAATATAGCAATAAGTAAGGTCTTTTACCTGCTTTTTGTAACATAACAATGAGTAAGGTCTTTTTACCTGCTTTTTGTAACATAACAATGAGTAAGGTCTTTTTACCTGCTCTTTTGTAATGTTAACAGACAAAGAGTAAGGTATTTTACCTGCTTTTTGTGAAGTGTCTCGAGATAACACTTGTTATGAGTTGACGCTATACAAATAAAAATTGATTGATTGATTAGATGAGGAGAAAAATGGATTTCCTTCATTTATATTATTTTACACTTGACTTTGACATTTAATGATGGTATAAAAGTTTGCTGTTTAGTTAAAATCACGTGCTAAAAACTAGGATTGTAACGATACCTTTAAATACAATTAAACATCAACACAAATATGGACAATGTAAATCGATATCAAAAAACTAGAAGTGCTATCTTTTTTTTTACCAGCAGGGGCACTATCTGCTTCAGACAGAGACACCAACAGACTGGGACAGGAAAGTGAAGACTTGGAGATTTAGGAGGTGTGATGTTTCAAAATGAGTATGATTATACTTACCGTAACTTTAACAAACTTTTTACCTCAAAATTAAAAGATTTACCTCAATCTCATGTCTTTGACAATCGTGAAAAATTGCAATAAAATTGTATCCTGAACCAAGTATATTTATACATATTGTGAGCAGTGGTAGCTGGTGCATCGTTCTGCAGTGAGGGCACATTTTCTCAAAGACAGACGAGGATATCTATCTTAGTTCATTAGCTTGATGCTAACACATACTGGAAAATGCTGTTAACTGGCTAACTGAATGAGCATTGCGATATTTCAACTTAGGAAACAATCTATTCAACTTAAATGTGGATGTTTGGTATTAATGGAAATAAGTTTTCTTTGAACTATAAAAAATAAATAATGTAAAGTTAGAATTTGACTCTGAAATCCTCAAATGTTCGACATAGGCTACTGTATGAGGGAATAAGGTGTGAAATTATTCAGTCATTGCAACTTTTCTCTTCTTATCACTCTAAAATAAATATTTAATGTTGCTGTTATTGCTTTGGTCACCTCTTTGTAGAGCAGAAGAAAATCGTAGGTGAAAGTCTGATTATCCAGGTTGCCGAACTCAAAGAGCCTCATCCGTTGTCCCAGTGCATCGTACAGGTATTTGGCATAGACCCACAGCTTTTCATTCTGCGTGGACTGGAGGAAGGAGAATTGGGTGAGTTTAAATCTCCCTCTCTCACATCTTCAACTGTGACGCTGCGTCATTGTGCTCATAAAGAAACAATGAACACCTTACCGCAGTGAGCGCCCCGCTGAGCAGAGGAGGACTTTCTGTGATTTGAAGAAAGATGTGTGAAATTATAACACAACACACAAATGGCTGATTCCCGTGTAAAATCAACAAAGGAAAACATTGCCAAAACAAATGTTTTAGCATTTAGAAAGCACACAATCACTTTTCTGGCTCTGTCAGTGTTTACTTACCGCACGGGTGAGGCCTCTGGGCCAGGCAGCCTGCCAGTAAGCACGCTAATGCCACAAAGATTTTCATGTTTTCTCTGTCTAAGCGACTGTTCTCAGGCAGCAGCAAACACTCTGCTGTTGTGAAGGGGATTCACTTCCTTATATACGAGCCTCTCAGGTCCAGGGGTAGGTCCTGCTTCCTGGTTTTATTTTTAACCCCGACAGATAGTCAGTTCAATTCACTGTTCTGTTATCAGGCCTGCATCAAGATTAAAGGTAATAAGTGCCATTTTCTCTTCCTTGAATGACACATGTTCTACTTTCTGTACACTAAATCCTGGTGAAGGTTTCTTTAGGCTAGAATAACATTGTGTAATGTATAGTGCACAGTGGGTTAGGGGATGAAGAGTGTTGTTTGTGTTGACAGGGTCCATGCTATTTCTTCTTATAATAAAGTAAAATCCCATGAGAGGGAGTGGTGTTAAACTGAATATATCAGTATGGCTGTCATTTGGTTGAGTTGATAAATCAGTAAAAAACATGAGGCCTGTACAACGAAGCGAGTTCAACACACTGAGGATTCTTTTTTGGTCATCTGGCTTCACTAACCCCTGACAAAGGTCACACTAAAAGGTCACATGAAGCAAGTTATCAGCCTGATAAGTCGACACAGGGTTTCTATGAGCACGTTCACATTAAAGGGGCCGTGTAAGCAGCATGTGAACATTTATACACATGAACATGAACTGCTGTCAGCAGACTGTCATATTTCAAAAACTCAGAGCAAACTGTATTAGAGAAATATGAAGACGTTAAACCAGGAGTTAGACTAAAATCACACAGCTGCAGCAACAAATGCACAGAAAACATTCCCATTTGACAAATGCACAAATTGAAGCTTTTAATATCACTTAGAAATGATTAGTGCTCAATGGATCTGAACATATTACCTCCATGTTTCTTTCTTTAAATGTATTATTTTCTGAAATATGGAGCGTCTGATAGGATAATATTTCAGCTGCTGCTAAGACAGTTTAAAGGCCCTGACACACCAAGGAGTTCGTCATAATTCTCGATTGGTACTCTACCTATAATACGAGTGGTGACCCACAGCGGTGTGAAAATGGTCTTTAGTATGGTCACTGAGAACTTGATTTTAGGCTGTGCACTGGTTATCCTGTTGACCATTTATATATATATATTTGTTTAGTTTTCTTTTATTTCTATAAATAGACGTTAGGTGAGGTCACAGAACATTCCTATAAAGTTGAAGTTGATACTAAAGTAAATTTGAGATGGCCTGTCATGTAGTGCAGGAGGTACAGTCAGGATGATTAAAGGTCACACTGTTAAATAAAACAGACTGAATATCAATGAAATACAGATTTGTTTTTTTTATTTTGAAAGAAGCAAATACTGTTTAACAACTTGACTGTTTATGCTTTAAAGAAAGCTGAAGTCACATTTGCAAATCAAACAGACAGTAACATTATCATTCGTTTGTTTGTAAGGAGAAAAAAGGAAATAATTCCCTCGTGGAAACTGAACAATCCCAACAGCAGAGTCGGGTGATTCATTTCAGTTTTTTTTCTAAATTTACTGTCATGATGGAAACATTCCCTTGGTCAGATTCAATCTCAAGAAAATTGTCAGAGTTAAAAAGATTTATGAAAAGTTTAACTTTGATGTAGCCTACAAAAAGAATCTGAAAGTGAAAGGAGGACCTTTTAATTCTTTGGTTGGAACAAGCTCATGAAGTCAACGGGCTCCTCATGAGTCATCGTGTTCGCATCCGAGCAGAAGGATGGCGGGTTGAGCTGATCAGGGTTTGTGATCCCGATGACGTTGTCGAAGTAGCTAGAGAACATAAAGACTCAGAATCAATTTGCTGGTTCTTAGAACTCTAGCCTTTCTATTGACTGTATAAAAAAAATGGATGTAGCCTCTGGTTTTAATGGTGAAGCCAATGCTTATTGCCTTCAGCCTGCATTCTCCCAAACAGCCAGCAGGGAGAATACTACTGTTGCAAAAATAAGTCTGTAATTCTCCCTATTGAACATTTCCTTTAGTTCATGGTCTCAATCGATATTTTAAAGTCTTCTTGAATATAACATGATGGTCCTGTTTAAGAGTTAAAATGGCTTTAAACAGGCTACGCTGTGATTGACGAGATACAGACAACTAAAAAGCCAAAGTCTAGGATTACCCTGGTGATATGAATGTATACTCACCTTACATGCATCCATCCATAAGGCTTGAGTTGGTACACAAAGGTGACGGGAACGCATCCAAATTCAGTAACGGTAGTCATGAACCGTCCTTTAGAGCGAGAGATTAAACAAAACAAAAAAAAGAATATTATTGAACAGAAGAATAAATAGTGGAGACGGTTCTAAAAGTGACATGCTCTCTGACCTATGTTGGGCTGATTTCCTGTCCAGGTGTTGACCAGGAGTCCTTCCCCGGTCTAGATGAGTCACCTAGGACTGACTGAGCCACTAGAGAGGAGCCTGGTGGGACGCCCAAAGGCATAAAGTTTGCTTTCAGAGGGCTTTTCTGGCAGGTTTTGTCTTTTTCGTTGATCTGATACAAGACTTGCTGATGGAAGGAGGGTGAGAGATCAAGAGAGAAATGTTTATATTCAAATTCATGCAGCTTTTATTTTCTTTTACACCTGAGTTTTTCCCTTAACACCGTATATTGAATAAACATTTCTAGTGTATAATACACATATTAATTTAATCTACTCAGAATGCTTTTTGTCATTTAAAATCATACACTTCATTATTTTTAAAAGTATTACATTAATACAATCTTATTGCCATTCATGTCACCTCTCTATAGTTCGCAAGAACATCATAGGTGAAAGTCTGGTTGTCCAGGGTGACCAACTCAAACACCCGAATCCGTTCTCCAATTGCATCGTAGAGGTATTTTCCCAGTCCGAACAGGTCATCATTCTGTGCAAACTGGAGTAAAAAAATAATAATTGGATGAGTTTAAATCTCCCTCTAACCGTCTAATGCTGAATTATCGTGCGCATAAAGGACACTTTGAAACCAGTATACACTTACAACAGAGAACCCGCCTGTCAGCAGAGGAGGACTTTCTGTGATTTGAAGAAAGATGTGTGAAATTATAACACAACACAAATGGCTGATTCCCGTGTAAATCAACAAAGGAAAACATTGCCAAAACAAATGTTTTAGCATTTAGAAAGCACACAATCACTTTTCTGGCTCTGTCAGTGTTTACTTACCGCACGGGTGAGGCCTCTGGGCCAGGCAGCCTGCCAGTAAGCACGCTAATGCCACAAAGATTTTCATGTTTTCTCTGTCTAAGCGACTGTTCTCAGGCAGCAGCAAACACTCTGCTGTTGTGAAGGGGATTCACTTCCTTATATACGAAGCGAGTTCAACACACTGAGGATTCTTTTTTGGTCATCTGGCTTCACTAACCCCTGACAAAGGTCACACTAAAAGGTCACATGAAGCAGGTTATCAGCCTGATAAGTCGACACAGGGTTTCTATGAGCACGTTCACATTAAAGGGGCCGTGTAAGCAGCATGTGAACATTTATACACATGAACATGAACTGCTGTCAGCAGACTGTCATATTTCAAAAACTCAGAGCAAACTGTATTAGAGAAATATGAAGAAGTTAAACCAGGAGTTAGACTAAAATCACACAGCTGCAGCAACAAATGCACAGAAAACATTCCCATTTGACAAATGCACAAATTGAAGCTTTAATATCACTTAGAAATGATTAGTGCTCAATGGATCTGAACATATTACCTCCATGTTTCTTTCTTTAAATGTATTATTTTCTGAATATGGAGCGTCTGATAGGATAATATTTCAGCTGCTGCTAAGACAGTTTAAAGGCCCTGACACACCAAGGAGTTCGTCATAATTCTCGATTGGTACTCTACCTATAATACGAGTGGTGACCCACAGCGGTGTGAAAATGGTCTTTAGTATGGTCACTGAGAACTTGATTTTAGGCTGTGCACTGGTTATCCTGTTGACCATTTATATATATATATTTGTTTAGTTTTCTTTTATTTCTATAAATAGACGTTAGGTGAGGTCACAGAACATTCCTATAAAGTTGAAGTTGATACTAAAGTAAATTTGAGATGGCCTGTCATGTAGTGCAGGAGGTACAGTCAGGATGATTAAAGGTCACACTGTTAAATAAAACAGACTGAATATCAATGAAATACAGATTTGTTTTTTTTATTTTGAAAGAAGCAAATACTGTTTAACAACTTGACTGTTTATGCTTTAAAGAAAGCTGAAGTCACATTTGCAAATCAAACAGACAGTAACATTATCATTCGTTTGTTTGTAAGGAGAAAAAAGGAAATAATTCCCTCGTGGAAACTGAACAATCCCAACAGCAGAGTCGGGTGATTCATTTCAGTTTTTTTTCTAAATTTACTGTCATGATGGAAACATTCCCTTGGTCAGATTCAATCTCAAGAAAATTGTCAGAGTTAAAAAGATTTATGAAAAGTTTAACTTTGATGTAGCCTACAAAAACAATCTGAAAGTGAAAGGAGGACCTTTTAATTCTTTGGTTGGAACAAGCTCATGAAGTCAACGGGCAAGTCCAGAAATTGGTCTGGTAGCTGGAGAGGTGCCAGTCCACTTCCTGAGCACTGCCAAGGTGCCCTTGAGCAAGGCACCTAACCAGCCCAGGAGCACCCACTGTGGGCAGCCCCCCCACTCTGAGACCTCTCCATTAGTACATGTCCATAGGATCCTGTTTGTGCATGTGTGTGTATTTCAGCCTATGTTTGTGTAGCATGTTTACTAGACAGAGTGTAAAAACAAATTTCCCCTCGCGGGATCAATAAAGTATAAAATTATTGTTATTATTATTAAACATTACTTGCAGTAGTTGAGTTGATGATACGGGAGCGAACCGGAGCAGGTGGGAGTTTAGGAGTCACAGGAGCTTACAACTTAAAGCTGACACAATAATGATCTGATAAACAAAAATTAATAAGGTCTACACTATCGATCTTTAGGCCATATGATATTACCAGATCGAGAGTGTGGCCTTTAACATGTGTAGCCCCAGTAGGATGCAAAACAAAAGTAAAGGACAGGAGATCAGAAAATTCAGAGATTAAAGTGGAATTAAATTTTGGTGGACGGTAGACTAAAAGAAATA